GAGCGGGGCTGCGGGGCCTACGGATCCGGGTGGGGCTCAGACCTGGCGCTGTGCGGCTGCCACCGGCGTCACGGATGGGTCACTCCTAGGGGACAGGAGAGAGGGACACGGTCAGGCTTGAAGGACAGGGATGGGCATCGACTCTCACCACGCCAGGCGGCAAAACGTGACCCCAGCAGCTTCGCTCCACGCAGGGCATTGCCCCATGGGGGTCCCCACACCCCCTGAATGAGCGGGTCCCGGACCCCATCCATGGAGCAGAAAGGACCACAGGGAAAGACCAGGGCATGGAGGTGTCACAGGACAGTCCCTGAGCCTGTGTCCCACATGAATGGGCACAAAGAGGGACACGGGGCACCGTTTGGCACCCACCATCCCCTCCCTGTGCAGCCCCAGCCCTTCAGAGCGGGGCACGGCAGCGCTCGAGCCTCTGGGAGCCGCACACCGAGAAGATGCCTGGGATATTTTTTTTAATTGGAAGAAAGCAGGGAGGAGCGGACGCCAGGAGGAATTGGAAACAGACGGCAGGAAGTGTGCGAGGAGGGCGCAGAGCCCCCGGGAGGCACCGCCAGCGAGCAGCAGGACAGGGGGAACCGGGACGGGGACAGACCCCCGGGTACCCCTTTGAGCTTGGCAGGATGGCGACATGGAAGTGCAGCTTTGCTACTGCCCTTGAGCACCCCAAACTCCTCGCTGCCCGCCATGCACGGTCCGGCCACCTCAGGGTCACCGCTGTGACTCAGGGCCAGCAGCTGGTGGCAGGGATGACGAGGAGCCTGGCTGACGGGGACACAGAGAGCCATGTTCCTCCTTTGGGGGCCACCTCGGTGCCACCCGGCCCGGCCCAGCCCGGCACCCGCAGTCCCACAAGAGGGGACGAGCATAGGGACCACGTCACCGCATCCCCTGCTCCTCCTGGCGCCAGGCAGCCCCAGGTGGTCCCGGGAGAGGCGACCGGGGAGGAAGGGCTCTCGGCCACCCGCTTCCTCCCTTCGGGCACCGCCGGCGACACCGCGGCCCCGGGACGGGGAAGGGAACAACGTTTGGCCTCTGAGCAA